CATCTTTGAGCTCTTTGCCGAGCTTCTCTTCCAACGCGCTGCGGAGGACTCGTACTTGACGGTTGACCTCCTTGCAGGCGTTCTCTGCCAGACCATTCGCTTGATGGTCTCCTACTGGCGATTCTTCCGAAACCCAGTCTATGCCGGTTTCTTTCGCTGCCGCTTCTTTCAAAGCTACCACGGATGGCTCACCATCCGACTTGAGAACCACCTTGCGGTGTCCCAAGTTCTTCAAGAAGTTTGCCACGAACTTCACTGCATACGGCGTTGCTCCCTTCGAATCCACGAAGGTCGCCGCTAAGGACTGTGTCCTCTCATCTTTCACTACGAGGATCGGCTTTACTCGCTCGTCCTCCACACCGCCCCGTGACATGAACGTGTAGTCCATTGCCACTGTGGGCACAAGGCTCTTTGCCTTCTGTTCCTCGGACCTCGTCCGATGCGGCTGCCCTACAGCCCGTCCGGCAACGCAATGCCGGCACCAATTTCGATACTGCGCATGGCCTGGCTGGGAGGACCGAGTGGTTGTCAGTGAAGGCAACGGGATTGTTTTCAAGACTGCATCAGGAGAGTTGGTGCCCAGTCAGGGCATTGGAACCTTTGAAGGGTTCGATGAGAGCGGCAACAAATGCCGCGTGAAAGGCTCAATGGCCGATGTTCACAAGCCATTGATTTCAGCGTCCAAGTGCTTAGGCTTTGGAAGGATTGCAGTTCTTGATGTGAATGGCGGAAACTTGATTCCGCAAGGGTCCAAAGTTGGAAAGGCTGTTCAGGCGATCCTGGAGAAAGCGAACGCTGCAGAGCAGCGGAATTGGATCCCTGTGTATCAAGAGCAGGGAGTGTACAATTTCTACTTGAGAAAGCCAGGGTATAAACCGACCAAGGAATGCTGTGGCATTGCAGAGTTGAACGCCGCAGGAGAAAGAGGAGATGCCTCTATGGATTCAGGCCGACCTGGTCCAGAGGGGCGAGAAGAGGATGATGAGTTGGAATTAGTTGATGAGGTTGAGAAACCCATCCAGATAAGAGCACCGGAGGATCCAACTCCGGCTGAGATCGAAGAGCACGAGGCGACATGGGCTGCTCCAGTGTCCAGGTTAAACTTCATCCATTCTTCGGCGGATGAAGTATCCGCTATTCCAATTCCACTCAAGTCTGCCATGAGCATTCCGACATCTGCTTCCGGAGCTGGCTCAATGCCATCATCCGGATCGTCCATCTCTTCCATACTTCCTGCGGCTTTACCTTTGCCGCCTTTTCCACCTTTGCCTTTACTGCCTTTGCCACCTTTGCCACTCCTATCTCCTTTGCCTGAACCTGACCATTTATCGCCTTTTCCATCCGGCCGTTTCTTGCTCCAGCAATCGGCCGCTCTGTGTCCCTTCTTACCACAATTGTAGCAGGTGATATCTTGAGCCGCGTTTGAGCCTTTACTTGAATCTCCTTTGCTTGAGCCTTTCTTTCCATTACCTTTGACCTGTTTACCTTTTCTTTTACCTTTTCCTTTGACCAGGCTTGCAATCCATTGTCCGATCGAATCGACGTCCATTGGTTGTGGTCCTTGATAACTAGAACTCGATGAACCTGGTTTTGGAACAGATGACTTTGATGTAAGAGATGATTCAATGACAAGTTCAATCTCCTGTTTGATCAATGCATATATAGGATGTCAATCTACTCTTGTTCAACAAAAGATGTTTCTCCAAATCTGGGGGTACCAGCATCTCCAATGAAGCGGACTTGATGTCGTCCGATAGAGTCTCCCTTATTCCTGCGGCACTCCTCCGGGACTCGTACCGCCTGATGAGTTCTTCGAGCTGTTCGATCGCTGGCCTCACCGCGGACCACGTTTTGACTCGTTCAGGTTGGAGAATTGCTCGAAGTATATTGCGTTTCCGTCCCGATTCCGCTCATTTCAATCGCGTCTTCCTGCTCCAAGATGTATTCAAGGATTTCTATGAACTCTCTCCCAAAAGTGGTTATGAACAGGTTGTCGATGCTCCTAGCCCACTGTCGGAATTCCCCTTCAACATTTCCAAAACTCTCAGGTCGTCCCAAACCCTTGGTGTCCATAAGTATTTGGGACTTTCGTCTATCCTCCTTTTCCTCAAGGCTCTTAGCCAGTTCTCCTACTGCTGAAGCCAACATCGATACCCCACCTTGGGATTCTCTCAATACCTGGTTCTCTTGTTCCAAACGTGCCTGGTTTTGCTGGAGCTGCAAAACCATATCAGACAACTGTTGGATCTGCTGTTCCAATGCCATGGTTCCCTAATCTCAACCCCGAAGGCGCTGCTCTCGCACCTTTTCCGCTACGGACGATTCGTCCGATCTCCGGCCCCTCTTCTTTTGTTTCTGCGGTCCTTTCAACCGCTGAAGTTGTTTCTGCGGTCTTCTCAACCGCTGGAGTGGTGCTTGCGGCTGAATCCGCCGCTGATGTGGCTGGCAAAGGCTCTTTTTCCTCCTCCTCTTTTTCTTTACTTCCTTCTCCTTTTCCACTCGGGGCGGCAGAAGCTGCCGCTCCCGAGGATCCCAGCTCCTCCTCCTCGGAGCTCTCGACTTTACTGTGTCTTTCTTCCTTTATGCGCAGCGCTTTGTCCCTGTCACTTTCACCGGACTCGTGCGCTACCATGAAAACGAGGTTTCGACGTTTCGGAACGCCTTTTCACCTTGAGCCAAAACACGTCATGAGTCACGTGTCTGCAGTACTCTAGCGGAGTATTTATGGGCTGTACATGCAAACAAATACAAGTAAATATAAATATATTGTTTGGGATACAGAATTTCAAAACAAAGCTCAAAAACATCCCCCAAACATTGTTACTACTAGTAAGGCACTTGTTGCTAGTAGCGATGCACTTGTTACTAGTAGCTTCTTGGAACCAAAGTGTTGGATGTTGAGTCCAAGGACCCAAGGTTAAAAAGATTTGATCCAAGCGCCCAGCCTATTAATGCCTGGAAATCATGGATCTTAGACATCTTAACAGATTGCAATCGATTGCGATCACTGGGCATGCGTACAACCTGTTATGTATGCATAATTGACTGAGACCAAGAAATTGGTCTGTGAAAGGCACGCTTTACAGCCCCCAAATGTCTACCCTTTTGGATGATTGGATGCTGTTCTCTGGGAATATTGACTTGATGTTGTTTTGATGGGGAAATACTCAAGTGTCCACCAGCTTGATCAAAATATAAAAAGCACAGAAGAGTTGTGGATAACATATTTTCTTCAAGTACTTCATGGCTTTGTGAGCTCCACTTCAAAATACAAACCATTTCAACACGGAACTAAGAAAGCACTGGAGCGTTGACCAGAATCTTTGTTCTCAGTTCCCAACTACGTTAAACCAATCTAAATACAATTGGCGCTACTAGGGGCTCCTGGCCTTACTACTAGGAACAAGGACGCTACTAGGAGCAAAGGGCATCGCTACTAGGAGCAAGGACGCTACTAGGGGCTCCTGGCCTTACTATCAATAGTGAGGGAATATCTCGTGCCGCCTGAGGCGGTCTAGATCCAAATGGTTTGGATCAGATGACTATAGATTCACAGGTTGGTAATCATGTTGATTTTGTGGTTGCCTGTCATTTCTCAGTGTGCAGTGCATCGTTTGAAAAAATGTACCCTTTACTAATACTCCTAGCTGTTATCTTCTCAAAATCTTTGGACACGGAAGTCCAGCCTGCAGACCAAAAAGTGTGGCATATACAGCGAGTGTGCACCTTTGCCACAGACTAAATTCCAGAAATTCAAACATATGCTGTGACTATGACTACTACCTACTACTACCTGCTACTACCTACTACTACTTACTACTACCTACTAGACTTACTACCTACTTACTACTAACTACTAACTACTAACTACTTACTACTTACTACTAACTACTACTACTACTACTACTACTACTACTACTACTAGTACTAGTACTAGTACTAATACTACCACTGCCACGCGACCCTCGCAGTTGAGGTCCGGCGGGGAACACCGAGGCTCGCAGTTGAGGACGACGCGGAGGACGAGAAGGAGGAGGTCGGCGACAGCTGACATAAAATCTAACCCTGAACTGACAGGTGGGGAATAATCCACAAGAAAAAATTGTTTATGTTTGTTTCTAGCAATGGCCTCCAACCTACTAGCAATGTTTTTAACTAAATAATCTTCACAACCTTTCACTCACCTCTGTAAATATTAACAAAAACGTTTCGGCGGCCTGGATTCTCCTCCCAAGACTCTTCGTGCTCCGTCCAGTCCCAGTGCCCAAAGTGTTGGTGACTTTCGGAGTAGGTAGGTGGTCTGCACGGTTTTTGCGCTTCGAGAAAGGTCTCTGAAAAACCATCTTCGGACTGCTCATTCTCATTCTCTTTCTCGTTCTTCTCATGTTCTTTCGCTTTTGTAAAGTTAAAGTCTTTCGCTTGTTCATTCTCTTTCTGACGACCGTCTGTGCGCAAGGCTGCAAACAAAGCGCTGCGCACCAGTCGTCGCCGCGGCGCGGCGGTCAGCGCCGTCGCCGTCTCCGTCTCTCTCCGTTCCTTCCATTCGCTACTGGTAGCTCCATGGCTACTAGTAGCTTGGAGGTCCTTCCATTCCTGTCCATTCTTTTCTAAACTCCATTCATTCGCGCATTTCTGTTCGTTCCAGGCAACGCTACTAGGAGCAGGTGCATCGCTACTAGTAGCTTGGAGGCTCCATTCATTCCATTCGTTCCATTCATTCCATTGGCTCATCGCGTCAAGACAATGGCTGCAAAGAATATCTGTCAAAATGCGGATCGTACGGCAACTTGCACACCGAACATCTCAACATGATACAAGGCAGCAATTGACCCTCCACCGAAATGATTGCCACATCGAAGCAATACTGAAATATCGAATCGGTTCATAAGCAATACTCTTAGATCGAACAAGCTACTAGTAACAAGTGCCTTACTAGTAGTAACAATGTTTGCTGGAAACAATATATAAATACGAATTTGTCTCTTTTTGGGCTTCGGAACCTGGCAGTGGCACAGAGTACACGAAGAGGGCACAAGCAGACCTTGCGAAGTGGCAACGCGGATACCGTTCGAGGTTCGATCATTTCAAAATGGAAAAGTTGAGAAAACGTGTATGTTTGACGCTTTGCAAAAGAGAAAACTTGTATGTTGAAGAAAAAATGAGAATGTGAGCGGTCGAGACCGAATCATGAAAAGGACAAAGGGTTGTCGCTTTCGGAGGCAATCGGTTTAGAGTGGCTTCTGGCCATTGTCTTGCGTTCAGTTGTGCACACGCAGAGCATCTAGAAGCGATGGCCTGCAACCGATGGCCTATCTCCGTTTGAGTCCTATCTCCTGTTTTGTACGGTCCGATCTCCGATGGACCATCATCCACTCTCTTCAGCGGTTTTGTATGAGGCTTTTGGAGATGCGCTTGTGAATGTCACAAGGTACGGAGAAATAAAAACTCCTGAAGCTTCTCTGGCGCTTGTGAAGAATCCTCTGAGGCAGCCACCCTAGAAGACTGACAGACATGTACTCCATACACAAAAGCAAGACTGGGCCATGAGAGGCTTTCAAAAGGTCCATGCTGAAGTATGCCGTAAGCCCCACAGTGTACCTAAGACAGGAAAACTTCCATGATCTCGAACATTTTGCGCCAGAAAATTACAGAATGAAAGAAGTTGAAGATGATCTTCGGTTTTTGTTTAATGTTTTTTTTAGTGCGAAAATTGTCTGTGATCTCGTCACATGTCTCGTGGGATCTTCTCGTCTCATGTTGCTTCGATCTCGCTGAGGCAGCGTCTGTTTGGAGCTTTCGGAGAGAGGCAAAAGACACGCAATGGCCACGAAGGCCACAGAGAGCGTCACGACCAAACCTGATTCCTTAACAAGAAGCTACTAGTAACAAGTGCATCGCTACTAGCAACAAGTGCCTTACTAGTAGTAACAAGGAAGCTATCAGAAACAAGAAGCTACTAGGAACAAGTGCATCGTTACTAGTAAACAGTTGACCGACAGTCTTTTTCGCTAGGTTGGAAGCCATCGCTAGTAGCTTTTTCTCTTAAGTCTTTTTCTGCCACATGTCTAGGGCGTGAACGACAAAGTGAGGAAAAGCCTGAAAAGTTCTCAAGGTTCACAGGAATCTACGAATTGACAGCAACACAGCCTGAATGTGTCCAATGTGTCCAATGGCAACCGCATTGAGAATGGCAAGGGCAGTGCCAAGCACGGACTCTAAGCACAGGAAACTAGTCTCCTGAAAAAGAGAATCAATTATTATCTTCTCTAAGGGCAAAACCGATGTCACACATTGCTTTAAGCTTTCTCAAGCTTCCTTAAGTTTCTTAGATAATGCCTCCAAACCAATCACAATTCAATGGCCTCCAACCTAAGAGGATAGAATTCTGAAGGAAAAATGCCCTGAGTAGCGTCCTTTGCTCCTAGTAGCGATGCCCTTTGCTCCTAGTAGCTTCCTAATTCTAATTAGATTCTAATTAATGTTGAGTCTAAATCCATTGAATTATTGTTTCTAATAGCTTCTTACTAGTATGGCCAGGAGCCCCGTTCGTAGCATCCTTAGGAAAACTGTTTTCCAAGCTCGGTCTCAATCCCTCGTCCTCCAGCGAGCAGCCGGAGCAGAAAAGGGACATGATCGCGGCCGTCGGAAGGAGTGGTTGGACCTGTGAAACGGCAGTCCGAAGGCGATCAAAACGCTTTATTTGTGTTGTTTTTCTAAGGGTGGAACCATGTTTTCAAACAAACTCGTTAAAGCTTCCGACATACACAGATCAAGCAGAATGGAAAGCATTGTCATAGAGTTCTCTCCTCCAAGGAAAAGCATTGTCGTAGAGGTGGAACGAGGAAGAGGCCACTGGCCAGGCAGCAGCCAAGCGCAGTGCCTCACTTGCAAAAACGAAATGTCCTTTTTCGAGCTTGGAAAACGAATTTCTCTTTCTATATCCTAGTAGCTTCTTGTTTTTAGTAGCAAGGCCAGGAGCCCCTAGTAGCGTTCTTGCTACTAGTAGCGATGCCCTCTTCGTTTTGTTCCTTTCTTCTCACTTGTTCCTAGTAGCGATGCACTCGTTACTACTAGTAAGGCACCTGTTACTAGTAGCGTGGCACTTGTTCCTAGTAGCCGAACATTGTTACTAATAGTCCTTGGATGTGAAAGAACAGGAAGAAAAAGTCTTTCACTCCCAAAGGGTCCAAAAAGTCTTTCTGTCGTCTTTCGTCTCTCCTTCTCTTTCGTCTCTGTGTCTTTTCTCATTTCTTTTCCAAATCTGTTCTTTTGAGCATCCTTCTTAGCAACTTTCTTTTGCTTATCTCATGAACTTCACAGCACGGCACGCAGGGCATGGCTCGCTGGCCGAGAGAGCATTAGAGGCCATCATGAGGACCGCACCGCAACTGCCCAAAGTCGTCTTCAACATTCTAATTCTTGTTTCTACTAGCTTCCTTGTTAGTACTAGTAAGGCACTTGTTACTAGAAGCGATGCACTTGTTCCTAGTAGCTTCTTGTTACACCCATGAAAACCAACCATGATTTTAAAGCTATATGTTTGTAATATCGCGAAACAACAAACTTTATTATGTGTGCCGTGTGCCAACCACGAAGAAAAACAAACTTAGGAAAGAATGTCTTAAGCATCCGTGTTGCCAATGCTTGCCTCCAAACCAATATTGCTATCCCGTTTCAATGTTCTATTCTCTCTAAAACTCCATGATTTGTGTCTTGTTGCAGGGAGTTCTCGTAAGTGTCTTTAACAAACACTGGCATAGAGCTCCAATGGGATTCCAAAAATTGCCGAGTTGGAGGCCACTGCTATTAGGTTCGAGGCCACTGCTATTAGGTTGTACAAAAAAGGTCTAAAGTGCGTGTTGAATTCAGATCTTACTGTTCGCACTGACGGCATCTCAATGTCAGAACAGTCAACACAATGTGCTGAAGCCGGATAACGCGCGCGTAAAGGCAAACACTAGGAACAAGTGCATCGCTAGTAGTAACAAGTGCCTTACTAGTAGTAACAAGGAAGCTATTAGAAACAATAAGCTACTAGGAAGCTATTAGAAACAACTGTGAAGACTGTTTTGCTTTATCGGCGCAAACGCTGGCACTCTCAGTCACTCTCATTTTGCAATCAAGATCGATTGGCTCCCACTCTATATCATCTCAAACTGGCTTGATCCGGAAGTGCAGACCGATCAGGCTGAACACAAAGCACTTCAGATCCTACGCGAATCCCGAATACGCAAAAGAAATGATGATTGAAACGCTACTAGTAGCGTCTTGTTGATACTAGTAAGGCACTTGTTCCTAGTAGCGATGCACTTGTTCCTAGTAGCGATGCATTTGTTACTACTAGTAAGGCACTTGTTCCTAGTAGCGATGCACTTGTTCCTAGTAGCGATGCACTTGTTCCTAGTAGCGATGCATTTGTTACTACTAGTAAGGCACTTGTTCCTAGTAGCGATGCACTTGTTACTACTAGTAAGGCACTTGTTCCTAGTAGCAATGCATTTGTTCCTAGTAGCGATGCACTTGTTCCTAGTAGCGATGCACTTGTTACTACTAGTAAGGCACTTGTTCCTAGTAGCGATGCACTTGTTCCTAGTAGCGATGCACT